GACGATGCTACCTCGCTCTGATGATGTCCGTCATATGACGGACGAAAGCTTAGCACATTTCCACCGGAATCGAAGGAGATTGCCTCGGAAACAGCGTCAGCATGAATCTTCCAGTAAAGCTAATCGACAGCTGGTAAAGAGGAATCCGCCGTCGTCTTCTGGTGGAACCGGCCTTCGAATCTCGTCACGCAACACTTCCATTCGAAATGGAAGTAAGCTCAACTTTTTTAGTGATCTAAATTTTCACTTAAACTATATGCTTTGCTTCTTACTACTATATCGAGTACACCTTCCTTGTACAGAGAAACAAAAAAACGAGTCACTGAGTACTTTGGATAGAACAAGAAACGTCACAGGCTAGGATTCGGAGTGGGAAAGCAAAAACGATGTTGGAATTTGGTGTTGATGCAAGAGATCAGCGTTCGGTAACAGAGGGTCAGAACATCGTTCTGCCCTGGTTATCCGGGGATGACGGAGGATGGTTCTTAGGAGTTTCACGTTTATGATACCTGATTGGTTCGATGTGGTGGCTAGATCATTTCGGGACAGTGCAGATGGGTCATCCCCTAAATAGTCTTAAGTGAGTTGAGGCATCTATTATTAGCTGGTTGTGACAAGAGATTTAAAATTAGCTGTGGACTATAAGTTATTTCAGTCGCAGTCAGTTCATCTATAGCCCACTCTTTTTGTGGCATCCTTCATTGCTTTAAAATTTCTGATTCACCACCAACTTTGATTCTTTATCAAATCTCTCATATTTTGCTTTTCTGTCTGCCATCCGCCACACGACTTGTCCGCGCAGTTATCCTCCCTCGAGCCGATCATCTCACCTGCCTCCAACTCCCTTTCCTCGCCTTCGCCACAGCAAACGCCACTTAGCTCGACTTCCTTTGGTCTGGCTTCAGCCAAGGATAATTCTGAATCCACAGCTCCTCTTTTGGCTGATTCATCTTCCTCTGCCGTGTCCACTACACCCATTACCACAACCACGGATTCTTCTGCTTTGTTTCTTTCTCCACCTGGCAACGCGGCCTCCCATGGGCTTGTAGGCGTTCCCGGATCTCCGTTATTGCGGGTTCCTAGTCCCACCGCCGTTGTGACAACCATTGCCACTCCAACTGTGTCCGGAACCACCCCCATGACCACCGTTAGACTTTCCTCATCTTTACAGACCAGTCCAAGCAGCTTATTTGTAACCCCGATCCCCACCTCACTGACTACCTGCTCCTCTCCGAACAGCGGTCTCTCAACTTTGGCATCTGCAGCGGCCGCTAGTGCTGCTGTTACGACTTCGCCAGCCTATTGCGAGATTGTTAGTGATGTCGACTTACCGAGCGGTGTTGACACTGGCCCAATTTCTATACACCCGGGTGACAGAAACCACTATTCCAGTCAACAACAGCAGCCATTCTCTCCCAACTCGTCTCCTGCGCCCTTGTTAGTCAGTTGCACTCCTCTTGCAGGGCTATCGGCGTCTACAAAACTCAAATTTAAAGCCCTTCTCTTTCAACAGCCTGTCCCGAACCAATGCCAATCTCCTTCCAGCCCCGTCTGTGAATCCACTTCATTTGATGCACTACGATCGAGTCCTATTACAACAATTGCCACCTCTACTCTGCTTTCTACATTCCCACCCCAAACACTGCCCCTTTCCAGTTTTCCTATATCTAGTCATCAGCCAAAATCATCACTCGGCCATACTTCCACCTGCCTTTCGTCTCATTTATCTTCTTCCTCTTCTTCCTCCCGTCCATCTTCTTCATCGCCTTCTTTGTCTATATCCCCCTCACCTGTCTCTACATCCACCACTCCTACCACGCCCAGCGGAGTCAAGTCAATCTGCCAGACCCCTAAGAGAATGGCTGCCATGGCAGCTACGTTAGCTGAAGTAAAGCAGCAACAACAGAGACAACAAAAAAACTTGACCCCGCCAGATTTGATTGGCGAACTCAACTCTTCAGTCTCTACTAGTGAGTTACCGCATTTTAAGTTCACTAGCTCCATCGACGCAGCTGATACCTCCCTGCCTCCAATTATTCCCTCTCTGGAATCTTCAGCCTCTCCTCCTCTTCTTGTTTCATCTGAGCGTGAATTTGATCCAGCAGTAGAAACATGTTCTGGAGTACAGGGCTCAGTCTCTGTCCCTATCCAGGCCCCGGAGCTCGAGCCTAGTTGCCCGTTGACACGAGCTGGCACCAAGAGGGATGCTTCTTGTCTAGGAGTACTGGCGGTCGTAGGCGATGTTCCGATTCGGAAGGCCTCGGGCTCCACGACTGGACCCAAACTTGAACCCATCGCAACGGATAGTGATTCGGACGCTAGTGGAACACCTGACTCTTTGACTGAGCATTCGGCACCTGGATCAGGCTCGAGCTCTCTAGGTGGGACAAGAAAGCGGGCCAGACTCGCAAGGTTGGCTCGAACGCAGAACCAATCAACTAAATCAATCTCTGCTGCAAGACCTAATGGCCGTATTAGTTCACGTCAGGCTGCAAGCCAATCGTATATTAAATCCCCAGTATCACCAACAAAATTGCCTTTAAAGAGCTGGCATAGGAACATGCGCCAAGTAACTTTGCGTTATGAAAACGAAGTGGAGGCAGGTGTTGAGCTGGAGAAGGCCTCTCGGACGGCGAGTCATGAGGACTTAATAGGTGGACTAGTTTTGAGCAGTGATTTAAACGATGAAGACGGGGCCACACAAAAGATGGAGTTGTGCGGGAAACTGACTGAATTAGGAAAGTTGGACGAAATTGATAAGGATACATTGACAGAGGAAGAGAAATATAGAGAAGAAGAAGGGGATGACGGGGAAAAGCTGATCAAAGAAAAACGTTTTTTGAGGGATAGGACATCCGAGCTTAGAGCTAAGGCTCCAGAGCCCCAAGTGAAGCTGGAATGTGAGACTGAAGATGTTTCTGTCTCAATGGGTACACTCAATCCTGAAGGTCACTGCATGGCTGTCACTGTCGAAGTAGTTTCTGGTCCTGTTGAACTCAATGTCCTCCGACAACCAGGAAGGTCCTCATCTTCTGCTCCGGTTTTGACACTTAATGCCGCATCGATACCTAATAAGCTCGCCACAGAATTGCCTTTCAGTCATCATTCTACCACCAACACCTCATCTTTGGCCCCAATTCCATTAGTGCCCACGCTTTCTGGATTCCCGGTTATTACAAGAGAATCACGACCGATAGAATCTTTGCCAGCTGCCAATAGCTCGTTTGGGGAAAATGGACGCCGAGTTCTAAAGGAAGAAATGGTTAGTTCGTTTCCTACTTTTTATACGCGTGTATAAGTTAAAACGCTAAATTGTGTTCTTCTATCTAACCTGGCTTTCTTTTGGGATGCGTCAACGATGTTGATCCCGCTTTTCCTGATAATTTCTTGGTCAGCTGAGACAGTTTTGCGTTAGCATAGAAAGATTAGTTGATGCACTCAACTATCGGCTGTGCTATTGGCCCGCGAATCGACAGGGTTGATGTGAACTCTTCATTGATTAAAGGTTTGATGACAGCTCAAGGGAAAATATGTTAACTAAAGATAACGCTTGGTCTCGCTTGGGAAGATTGAGATGGATCCAGCGAAATCAGGAGAAATGTAACGATGCAGGGAATATTTGGTGTTGGCTACTACACCTCATATTCAGGAAAAATTTGCCACCTACGAAACGATTTGGTGGAGAAACTGTTCCTTTTCCAAATTGTTTAAAAAAATTGATGAATATCGGCACATCCTCATTTAATATGGAAACCATTATCTGTCTCATTGGATGAGTGTGCTAGAGGTGGTCCTCTAGCGAAGACTATGATTAACTTATTTTAATGGATTGGTGGGAACCTCCTGATAGACGCGTAGCAGCTAGGTCCATTGGACACTCTAGATTATAGTTATCAGAAAGGTAGGTGTCATTCGATCAGAAACTGAGTTTTTTTCCGCAAATTTTCCTCATGGTCGTTAATGCATTGCTAATCTGCGATGATCATAAGATATGCAGAGGCAAATATTACTTAGTTTTGTATGATGACATTTGAAAAAAATCGCCATGATACTTTGTAGAATAGTACCAGCTCTATTTGAGTATACATTCATTTAATTTCCGGCATCGCTAATATCAGAATAAATAGTGTTAAATTAATAAATAAAATACATTAATATACACTTTCTAGTCCCTATTGCAATTTTAGGTTAATCATTGACAGATAGGCAAGCGACAAAGGATGCATGAGTAAACCTCGATGCACCCATGTTTTAAGAATCATCATTTCACAATAGCATAACTACTTAACCCTGTTCTCTATAACGCTTCTCTACAGTTTAATACAATAACATATCGTCAATAGCCAATGCCAGATCTTGTTGATATTTAATCTTTTACATGCTTCTCAATTGCTTTTCGAGCCTAGGTCCAGTGAAACCCCATGAGACCTTATGCATAAAAAATATTATCGTATTAGCAGCTCAGTCCAAGTCCAGCCCCTCCTTGATTTTGTAAGAAATTTTCCGTTGAAATTATCCCTTTATTAGATAATCATTACATCCTGTGGAATAGCTCTGAAATTATCTGATCTTTTTTATTGGCCAGTCGCGATGAATATTACCTATTGATATCTGCATGGACTGGAGGAAATTCATTCCAGTCCTAGCAGCTCTCAACTTTTCTTACTCCACTTGCATCTGTCTGAGTTTTTCTATTATCTATGTACTATCTTGTCTCTTCCCAAACTTTCTTCTGTTGTCTATTTGTGCCTGCCAATTTTTCATTAAAATCTCACGCTTTTCCCCTTAACTTCGGATGGTCCAGCAAACTCTAGTA